GAGGGAGAGAGAGGAAGAGAGAGAGAGGGAAACATCGATGTGAAAGGGACACATCGAGTGGCTGCCACCCGCACGACCAACCAGGGCCGGGGACAAACTGCAACCGAGGTACATGCCCTTAGCGGGAACCGAACCCGGGTCTCTCTGGACCGCAGGCGGACGCTCTAACCGCTGAGCCAAACCGGCCAGGGCTGTAGTTAACTTTTAAAAATTCACATTTTACTATTCTTGTTGATATATACCCCCAAAACAGTTATCTGGTTATTTCACATTGTATTTTTGTGGGAATATATTTATAAAAGTATTGAAATCTATGTGCTTGTACATCAGCTAATTTTTTACTTCTATGTAAACATAGATATATGTATAGAATAACACTTATCTAAAATAAATAGTGAATATTTTTATGGTTGTGAGATTTAATATATCTATTTTTTAAATATATTTTTATTTTTTAATATGTTTTTGTTGATTTTTAGAAAAAGAGGAAGGGAGAGAGGGAGAGAGACATTGATGTGAGAGAGAAACATCGATTGACTGCCTCCTGCACATCACTGGAGATCGAGCCTGCAACCTGGCATGTGCCTTGACTGGGAATCGAACTGGGGCCTCTCAGTCCATGGGACACACTTAATCCACTGAGCCACACTGGCTGGGCTAACAGAATATGTATTTTTTTGTTTTGTGTCTTGTCTTCTTTTAAAGTGCTTAAATTACCAATGATGAACATGTATTATTTTTTTTAGATATTTTTTCAAAACAAAAATAGAAAACATAAAAAATGAGAGAGGTGTTTATTTGGTTATTGGAATAATAAAGGTTTCAGACTTGTTTTTAAATGATGTATGTGATAAATCTTCTTGACAGAACTGTAATTACCTGGAAGGCAACTGGGTCTTGTATGACATGAAGTGATGCGCTCTCTCGAGTTACAAATGGCCAGATAATGATGCCCTGTCAGAACAGTCTTCGCAATAAGGATTGGCTTGTGATGGACCATTGTGAAGATATCAACGCTGTCATGCCTTCAAAGTTGTAACTCCGGTTGGTTTAGTAATTCGTGAAATAACACCTTTCTTCAATCTTTAGGGCCTTTTAGACATCAGATATCAAATCTTCATAAATACTGATGACCCAGAACAGATGATGTCCCGAGAGTTCTGCACCCAAGGCGGACAGCTCACCTCAGCGCCTGGACATTACACTGTGTCTCTCAGAATCATGCTCTGAACAAATCTAGCCCAAGAAGTGAAAACACAAATGTAGTAAAAAGTATTTGTTTTTATTGTTCAGTATGTTTCATTAAAAAAGATACCATTTTATTAGTAGTACATTAATACACTTAGAGAACAAAGTGACACATTTTTGTCACAGATATTAATTTATATTTTACAAACATCCACCAAAACAATTAAAGCTGAAATAAATATATTTACATTTATATTTCTATTTTCCTTTTATTTTAATATGTATAAAACATATAGCATTTATAATATTTTATTTATCTTCAAAAGTAATTTAAAATGTGCAAATAAGTGAATTATAATTTTAAACTATTAAGAAATAAAAATAAATTATAAACAACAGTTTTAGAGGGATGACTAAAGCAATTCTTTAAGGAGAGCTCATGAGTATAGCAGTTTTAAGGGTGACAAACTTTGTTTTTAATATCAGAACATTACACTTACCTTAAAAAGTAAAGCACAAGATTGTTCTTGTGCTTTTAAAGCTTCTCCAAACTGCTGATTTCTAGCAGTAATTCTAAATAATTTTTAAATTCATACTTTTCACAATAACAAATCAAGCTTCTCTAATCCAGCATTCCATGTAGACAAAGTTTATGAGCAAACTTTGTGTTACATGAGGGAAACATCCATGTACAATGAATGCTTTCTCTGCTTGCATGGTTAGCATGGACTTTACATTTATTTTTAAGTAATTCTTTGTCTACTTGCTAAGTGACAGTTGTGTGAGGAAAGGCTTTCAAACAAGTTGGTATAACTCTGGAAGATGGGAAAGCAATGACTAGCTGTTTATTCTCCCTTAAAAATAGTGATGGATGATACATGTTAGAACACATTATACTAACATTATTTATGAAAGTAGTTTTAAATAAATATTTGTTTCAATATAGCAAATTTAAAATGCCCCTGCTTTAATTTACTTCAGCTTAAATGAATTGTTATTTTGTATCAGGCGAAGTACATTATTGAAGTGGTTAACAGAACTTGAAATATTTAAACTCCCTTCTCTGACCTTAATATGTGTAATACAATGTTCTCTTTCAACTTGCAATTTGTACACTATAATGAAACCTTTAAATGTGTGTATACATACATACACATGTATAATATAGACATATGTACATATATATGCATAATGTACACACCCACATATACCAAGGCACTAGAGGGGTTAACACGAAATTAAACATTCTGCTGTTAAAATGTTCTCTAGTACAGAGTAGATTTTAATGTGAATAAATCTAATGCCTCTAAATCTAAATTACATGAGAAATTGAGATTTATCTTCATAATTTTCATATTGAAGCATTCTCATTCAGTAATCCAAGCTATAACAGATGCCGGTGGCTCATATTTGCACTGTAAAAGAAAATGTTAAATACTTTGCTAACTAATGAAATGTTGTGTAATATTTTTAATAGGTGACTGCTCCACTAATTATGTAATATAGCAATTTAGGCCTTTTTATCAATAGTATAAAAATAATTATAGTAGCATAAATTTTAATTTGTTACAATTTACAATTCAAATTTAAAGATATTAAATATATCTATTTGAAATATTTTTAATATAACCTGCAGTTAACATTTTATTATATATACATATGTATATACGTATATATGTGCGTGTGTTGTGTGTGTGTGTTGCACAAGGAGATATATCCCCATACATGTCTCATGGTGCACCTTTTCCTTCATCATACACTAAGCACAGGCTAGAATATTTTTATGATGTAACAAAAAAGATAATTAAATAAATGGCAATTTTTTATTTTTTAAATGGAGCTTTTACAAATCTGATGTTAATTTTTTAATAATTACATTACACTTACATAAAGTTTTAAACTTTTTTTCTTTTAGCTAACTTGCCCATTTCCTATTTCCTGCAAACCAGATTATCGCCCGGATGACACAGCTGTTAACCCAAGGTGGGCACACTGACGTACAAGTCTGTCTAGTAGCAGAGACTATAATAAACTGGCTGCTGGGCTTCACGTCCTAAGGTCTATTTTTCTTCATGTCTTTGGTGGGTTTTCTATTTTAGAAGGGCTATTGTGTGTGATTGATACATACTGAAGAATAATTCCACAGTTATTACCTGAATTATGGATATGTATTTATTTCTGTGGTCAAAATAAATTATATTCATTATTGTTGAATTTTCCATAGTTCTTTTAATAACGTGTACTAGGCCCAACTTAACACTTGCCCATGTCTAATTATGAAACTGACCTTTATAAAAAAAATTTTAATGTGATTCAGAATTGATCAGATGCAAACAGAATTGAAAATCTAGGATTGTAGAAACAGTTGGATATTAATTTTGTTAATTATAAGGGTAGTGTCTTTTTGTAAATTATTCTTCCCTGTTGAGTGATATTTTTCTTTTATTTAAAAAATAAACCAAACCACCTTATTTGATACTTGGTCATTTTGTCATGGAAATATCCACTTTTTATATAGTTGGGAACATGTGTATTATAAAAAAAAAACAGATTTTCCTTCTTAAATAGGCAGCTGGTTGTTTGAAGCCGATCTCAGTACAGCTGTGGCGAGGGCAGCACGTCCTCCGCGTTATACAAACAGTGCAGTAACATCGGAATCTAAGTGGTGCGCACCCCAGTGCTTCAAATTCCACCCGCTTCGCACCTACATTCTTCAGAAAATATACCTAAAAGAACCCACATTGTTTAGTTATAGAATCACTTTTTATGACATGGTGAAATAGAATTTAACAACTTTTATTTTTATATCTTTATTTTATCATTAAATGTTACTAAAATTGAAACATCTTATTTAACTCATATAAGCATTGGTTTTAGATCGCTTTCTAGAAACATTTTAGTTTAGAGTAGCGGGGGTTAGGATTGCGAAGGAGCGTTTCTCACACTGCAGTTGCTGATAGCACTTTTGCTACAGACTTTTGGGGTCACTGAAAATGTGTGAAACTTTAATTTGAAAATAAATCCCATCAGGTAAAATATAAATTTCCTTAAATGAAGGACAGAACAAGATGCTCATGAATGTTGTCTTCATTCATAATTAACACATTTTGGCATATTTGATTAACACTGGCAATGAATACAAATTTGGTATAAGTGTTCCAAGGAAGAAATAGTTCATTTCACATTGTGTCTATTGTAGGTCAATGTTATTGTCTTCTTAAATTCTTAAAAATATTTTACAATAAGATAAAAAAATCAGAGCGCCCGAGCCCAGTCATGACGTGAGGATACCAGGAGAAATCTACATCAGCACATTAAAGTATTTTTTCTTTGATGAGATGTTTTGCACATTAGTGTCCTTGCTGTAATATCATTTTGTTTTTTTTGCTTTTGCCTCCTTTAGGTCACTTGTAAAACAATGATAAGGTATTAGTTCATGACCTGATCCAACATGTATTTTGCATACAAAATAATCTAAAATACAGAAGGTGCCATTTCATTGGTATTTTTATTTTATTTATAGATAGTTTACAATTTTTATATTATTTACAGATTTCAAACCATTCTTTCTTTTTCTCCTCTTTGATAGAAGCAGGATAGTGGTACAAATCAACCGAATGAGAGAACAAGCTGTTTTGTTCATTGAGGCCTATTCACTGACGCCTTCCAAGAGAGAAATGCTTTTGAGATCCCTTACAACCTTTTATTTTTTTCTGCTAAAATTTTAATTTGACTTGATTACATTATTGTTTCTCCAAGGTCTAAAGCAAGGAATCTGTGTGTCTGTGTAGATGGTCCGGGCCGGTGGCGGTAGAGCTCGGGCGGTCAAGCCGGGTACTTGGCTTGGCTTGTGGAGGCCGAGCTGGCGGCAGCAGCAGCCTGACTGCCTAGGAAGAGGGGGTCCAAACAGGCGACTTTGGCGGCAAAGAATGAATGAATGCAGTGAAGAACAGCAAATAGATTGGAAAACTCCAGCTCCTGGAAAGAAAAGGGAAATGGGTCAGAAAATAAAAAAAATAAATGTCTTTAAAAATTGATAATAACTAGACAAATAGATAATAGCTAGAGATTTCTGCAAGTGCAAAAAACTTAATTATAACCAATTACCTGTAATGTATGGCAACTGTAGGAATTTTTGTTCATTATGTAAATTTAATGTATATTGCAGACTTACTTCAAAGCATGCAGATCTAAGACTAACGGAGTAAGCATACTTATTGCTCATCAAAGTCATTTTAGTATTGACAGGTGCTGCATAAAAATATATTTGGCCTGATTAAAATTTCATTCTTGATAAAATATAACTATAGAGAACCATAGGAGTAGTTTAAAAATATTTTTGTTTCTTTGTACACACTCCAAATGATAAATTTTGATTGCAATGATTTTAGAAAACATTTTTTGCTATTTTTTAGAATAATTTATTATTTGTCATTGGACACTGAATAGGAATTACTGAAAGAAAGAGAATATGAATGTTTATGACATGAAGAGCTACATGGTCCTATTTAGAAAAATAATGCATTTTATTACTTTTAAATTTATATAATTTTAATTGTACCTGGTTGTTTAAAATTGTTGTACTTGGTTGTTAAAATCATGAGATAATACTCAGGATACATTTAAAAATTTATGTCACAAATATTTTTATGAAAAACCATAAAAATATTTTAATCCAAGATAACTGAGACAAGACAAATACATATATTGACTTAATCAAATCTATATGATAAACTTCTAAAGAAAATAACAAGAAAGTAATAATTTGAACTTGTTGAAGTTGTGGCTTTTTGATACATCTTTGTGATAAAGGATGCAGAATTATAATTGATGTGCATAATACTGTTGTTTTGCAATTTATAGTATGTGCAATGGAGAATAATACACAGTATCCATTCATTAGACACATTCTAATATCTTCATGTACAAGCAAACTATTTAACTAAAATAATTCACTCTGGGAATATTTTCTTTGGTCATTCCATAAAAGTGCAATAGAGCACAACAGATTTATAGTTCTGTACAATATACAAAAAATGACCATACTGTGTCAGCAATTCCCTTCAAACCTTCACTACTTCATACTTAGTTTATTAAGACAAAGGTTGACTTATTTTAGAAAAGCAGGGAATATATAACTTAACTATTCTAATATCCTAAATTGCTTCCACGTAAAAATAATTTTACTATTCCATCATAACTACTTCATAATCTTATTTTTTTGTAACAGCCACTTCAGTGGTTCTATGATGTGTTATTGGTCAACTAACAGGTGTTCTCCTGCCTTCATTCAGCCACCAAGTCCTCCATTCACCTTCCATTCTTTGCACAGTCAGCACATTGCACCTGCAGATTCTGAACATGCCCTGTGTATGCGAATAGGGTGGCAAAGTTTTGGAAAATATGAGATGTGCCTGTGTACTACTAAAAATAAAACAAAACAAAAATCATACAATTCATTCTTTGTAAAAGTAAGAATATCCCTGAATGTTGCAACTAGGCAAAAATATAACAAATAACTTTTTCTCAAAAATAATTCTGCCACACCTTAAATAAATGGGAGTTTGTGTCTTGGTTATTAAATAGCAAATACCCAAATATACAGAAATTTTAGCAAGATTAATATTTTTAATTATTCACACCTTGTCAATTATATGTCAATTATGTAATGTAGATTGGCACTTTAAAATTTCACATCTTTTCGCAGGGAAGTGAGTGGTAGGCAAGAAATAACATGTATTTAAAAGAGAAAGCATGGGATAGAGATGTATTCAAGTTTGGACCTTGATTCCAATGACAACTCATCTTTCCTAAGCCTCAATAATCACCTTTAACAATTATATCCATTCCTGGGGCGTCAATTATTACTTCAGTAGAGCTGGTGCCCGCTTTTACTCATTTATAATGTGAATTTTAGAATTACCTATTCATCTCTACACTGAGCATACACAGAAGACTTTTACCCAGTTATTTACTATCTCTGTAATAAAGCTCTTCTGAATCCCATTAATCTCACTAGACATAACTTCTCTTCAAATTTAATCATTCATTCAATCAATAAAAGTTTATTGACGTTTGCTATGAATGAAGTAATTTCCTTGGTGAAAAGATAAGATAGTGAACAAAACAGGCAAGAAAACTACTGATGAGATCTACATTCTAGGGGGCAAATTATGTAGCATATGTAAATTAAATATAATATATCTGATTATGATAACAAGTATAGTCAAGAAAATAAAGCAGGGAGGGAACAGAGAGTGGAGGGGCTTTGGGAAAAGAAAATCCACTTTGCCCTGTGAGCTGAACCGGAAGGGGACAAAGAGTGAGCAAGCGCATGTCTGCGGCGAGAAGAGCTGAGGCGGCAGGCTGTGCTGAAGGGCCTGCGGGCAACACCTGAGAGGAAATCAGAGGGGACGCAAGGGGCTGTGTGGATAGAACAGAGAGGATTAAGGAGTAATTAATTGTAAATAAGGTTAAAGACATGATACATTCAGAATTGGTCATGCCATATGGGCCTTTATTAATTTTACTGTGAGTGAGATGTAAACCTGCTGGTGATTATTTAGCAGAGAAGTGACAAAAAAATGACATGAATCTTAAAATGATATTTTGAGCTATATGGTTGAGGGTGAGGTGTTTTGAAATAGGATTTTTAAAAGGGAGAGGAGTTACAAAGATTTTCAATAAGAGAAGATAAATTTTAAAGTGAAGTTGAGTCGATTATGATTCTAGGATCTATGATTGAGCAACAGAAAGGAGAAAATGCCATTTACTAGAAAGGAGGAATCGAAGAATTTACTGAAAACACATGTTTGGCATAAAAGATCAAAATTTTGGTTTTGGACATGTTGCTTTTGTGAGAAAATTAGACTATAAAGGGTAAGTATATAACTGTACAGATAGAATAAATTTAAAGGAAAATCAGGGTTGGGAATAAAACAAGTATCTGTCAGCATGTAGATGATAAATAAGCTGTGGTCTGGGTGCGAAGGTCAAGGTGTAATGCATACATTGAGAAAAGGACTAAGAACTTATTCCTGGGATCCTATGGTATAAAAACTTAGGAAAAAATAGGAAAGAACCAGCAAAGAAGAAAGAACAATGTCACCAAAGAAGTGAGAGAGAGAAAACAGAGTCTGGAAAACTGAAAACTGACCAATGGAGGTCATTTTTAATCCTGACAAGAATAATTTTTATGGAGAAGTTGAGGCAAAAGACTCATAAAAATGGATTCATAAGTAACTGGGTGAAAAGATTTGACAAATCAAATATATAAAGAAGATATTGAGAAGCCTTTTTTTTATCTTCACCCGAGGACATTTTTCCATTTTTGTTCAGATAGAGTGGGAGGCAGTAAGAATAAAAGATAGAGAGAGAAAAAAACATTGATGTGAAATGCACAACCCTAACAGGGCCAGGGACAAACCAACCATGGTGTTTGCCCTTAGCGGGAATCGAACTTGTGTCTCTCTAGACCGTGGGCCAACGCTCTAACCATTGAGCCAAACTGGCCAAGGCAAGAAGCCTTTTTTTCCTACTGAATGAGCAGAAAAAAATGGATCGATAGGTAAAGTCAATAATGCTTTTCCGAGAAAAAATTGACATTGGATTAGGTGAAAGAACACACACCTCCTCCCAGCGCCAAACTGAAGTGACAGCTGAAATTTAGAGCAATTAACATGCATTAAAAAAAAAAAAGGAAGCCACACAGAGACTGGTAAGAATTGCAGAGACACAGAAAGTGCTGGTCCCAGCACCCAGATACAGCAGCTATGGAGATGAAGAAATTTTGAGGCTGCAAAAGCCCGAGGAAAGTGGCGTCTCAATCCCACACTAGGGCCTGGAAGAAGAGCCTGCATAACATTTGGCAGCAAAAGTAAGTGGTGACTGTCCCCTGGGAAGAGGAGGGAGTATACTTGAATTCCGGGTGCTCTCCTTAAAGGCTAATGCACAGGGACTCGCTCTCAGGCACACGCCCAGGGTTCAGGTAGAGGGAAGGGGACTCATGGCGTATGGAAGCCACAAGGAGAAGAGCTGGGTGGCATAGCACCAGCTGGAAAAAGTGCACTATCCTTGTCCTCCAAATACTGACAAGCTGAATCAGGCATGAGACTTTTTCCTGTACCCCAAAGGGACCTGAAGTTTGGTTTTGTTTTATTCTGGAGAAGCTATAGACAGTCTCAGATGAACACTGAACTGAGTGGCTTAGGAACAGGAGCTAAACCCATCCCCCATGGGTTAGGCAGGTGCCACCCCCAACATAAGGTGCCCTGATCAGTGCCTCAGGTATTGGAGCTGTGGAGCTGGGGAAGGCACACACTTGCAAGCCTCCCTCAGGATCCCTGGTGGGGTCCTGAAAGCAAGCAAACTACCTGGCAGAGGATCCATACCGACCCCCAACAAAGGGCTGCTTGGATTAGCATTTCCCAAATCTGCTGGCACCAACTCCAAAGCCCAGTCCCCAGGGGGAAGGAAGTGTAATTCAGAACAGAGACATTTGGAGCCACCCCCTCAGAGGCCTCCATGAGGGCCTCTGGCAGTGAACTGCAGAGATAGAAGAGGCTACAAGCTCTCTCACCTTCCAAGAGTGAGTGCCACCCCAAGCAGAGGGGGCAGCCTTGATCTATTTCTCCAAGCACCACCTGCACCTTCTAGCAGGTAGAGCCTCTCAGGGGAAAGGGGGCACAACTTAGAACTGTGCAATCTACTGTGACCCCTGCTCCTTGGAGCCTCCCTTCAGGAGTTCTGGTGTGAAACTGTAGGAGAGCAGATATCTTCCCTCTCAAGGGCTGAGGATCCATGCCACCCCACACAAGGGGCAGACTGGGTTTGCATTCCAGATTCTGATGTAGAACAGGGTTTGCAATCCCACCCTGCTAAACTCATATTTACTAGGGTAAGAAGAGACAAATCAGACCTCGGATATTGAATGTGACTTCCTTGGAGCACTCCACCAGGGCTTCTGGCAGTGCATTGCA